GAGCAGGAAGATAAGCCGCGCCCGACCTCCGCAGACCCTCCTACGATCCACCTGCATCATACACGCACACGACAAGCGAGAACACGGATCAGCGTTCGGCCGAGTGTTGATCCCTACCAGAACGGTCGAAACCCGTGGCCTCTCATCTCTTCAGCTGTGCGAGTGTGTTCTCTGCTGATGCCGTGCCTCCTCCTCCTTCGTCTCCTCCTCCTCCTCCTCCTCATCTTTGTCCTCCTGCTCTTCCTCCTGCTCCACCTCCTCCTCCTCCTCCTCCTCCTCCTCTTCCGCATCCTCCTCCCAGTGCTATTCCTTCCCCTCCTCTTCCCTATCCCTTCTCATGCTTTTGTCTATCGTAGGATCTGCATCAGTTTCCTCGTCATCCTCGCTTCACCTTTCCTCGTTCTCCTCGTCGTGATCACCGCCCTCGCCATTCCTCCTGGCTGCAGGCTGGCCCCTGCGCATCGCGCACGCTCGATGCAGGCCTGCGGCCTTTGATCTTCTCGCAGTGCTCGGACCAGTCCTCGAGGAACGTCTTGCCCCGCACCAGCTGGGGGGGGCCGGAGGGGCACATGCATGAAGAGGATCAGGGCAATCTTGAGGGTCAGGGTCGGGGAAGGACTGAGGGTGAGCATGCGGGTGGGAAGGATGTTGAGGAAGATGGTCAGGATGAACGTGAGGGTGAGGATCGGGCGCTCCTCGCGCTCGTCCTCGCCAACCTCTGTCTCCCTTCCGATCATACTCATCATCCGAATCAGCATCACCATCATCATCATTATCATCATCAGCATCATCACCACCAGCATCAGCATCAGCATCAGCATCGTCATCATCATCATTACCAATACATCCCCATCAGCAGCATCATCATTAGCATCAGTATCACCACCATCATCACTATCATCATCACCAGCACCATTATGTTCTAAGCGCATGGTTGAATCATCAGCACCATGTGCGATGGTTCTTATCAAGAAACGATCATCATCATCACCATCACCATCGTCATCATCATCGCCATTATCGTCGTCGTCGCCAGCAGCATCATCAGCAACACCATCATCATCATCATCGTCATCATCATTATCATCAGCATCATCATTATGACAACGATTGGGCCATGTCTGATTTCCCGTCGCTGCCCTCCCGTGCCCTACGTCCCCGAAAACATCCAGCCTCCATATTCTTCTGGCTGATCCGCATGCCGTCCATCTGCGTGGACATCGCCGCCAACGTGGGGATGAACACCTCCCCTCGCCCCATGCTCCTCCAGCCTCCAAATCACCCATCCGATGAATCCTCTACCGATCGTCTATCCTGAACCACCACACTCACTCACTGCCATCATCGTCGACGTCGGCCACGACCGACCGCCATCCACGACCACCGCCGCCACGAAATTAAGATCCACCAATCGCCCCATCCTCGAACGTCAATCCTCGTTTCGGCATCCGCCTACTCCGCCTTCCCTTCTCCCTCCTTGTTTCGCTCCATTCCTCCTACCCTTGATCCTCCTCCCCCTCCTCCTCCTTGATCGTCGTCGTCGTCGTCCTCCTCCTCCTCCTCCCCCCCTCCTCTTCCTCCTCCTCCTCCTCCTCCTTGACGTTCACTCATCTCCTTCGTCGATGCTCCGCTACCCTTCCCGCCTGCAACTGGTCTAGCTGCGGCCTGGCGTTGGAGTCCTTGCAGGGGTACGCCGACCAGTCGGGCACGGTGGATCCCGCCGATCGGCCCGCCCCGAGGGTAGAGGGGGTCGAACAAGAGGGGGCGGGGGCAACGGCGCGCCCCTGGGGAGCGGGATCGAGAGAAGGGGAGGGGAGAGGGAGGAGTGGCACGAAGGGACAGTGGGATCCCGAGGTCGAGATCACGCGGCAGGGTCTCTCCTCCCGCCCCCCGCCCTCGATCGATCCTCCATCCTCTGTCAATTCGCCCATGCCCGCTCCCTCTCTCCTCCCATCGCTTTCCTTCCTCCTCCCCATCCCCTCCATTCCTCCTGGCCGCTGCGCGTCCTTCGAACACCTTCGGCATGACGTCAGTCACCGTGTGTGATATCACCTAGGGGGGGGGGGGGGGGGGGGGGGGGCGTCTCTCCTCTCCCTGCGGTTGTACCTCCTTGATCCTCCTCTTCCTCCTCCTCCTCCTCCTCCTCCTCCTCTCCTCCTCCCCCCCCCCCCCCCCTCCCCACCCTCGCCATTCCTTTTCCCTCGTCCTCCCGTTTCCGACCTTCTCGTCTTGATTATTCTCCTCTCTCCCCCTCGACCTCCTCATCGCCGTCTCTTCCTCATCCCCCTCATCTTTCCTCCTCTCTCGCCCCCCTTTTCTCGGTTGCTTTTTATTCGCGCGGGGCCTCTCGATCGCATCCTCTTCTTGCCCCCCCCCCGCGTCGTTCCCTCCTCCTGGTCTCTCCCTGGTCTCGAGCCCCCCCTCCTTCCCCTCAGAGTGGCGGCGGTGCCGCGCCTCGGCCATGAGGATGACATCGATGTTCGCCGTGCGTGCGTTCCGGAGGAGGTGCTGCGCCATGCTCGCCTGGCGACGGGCGGGCGGGCGGATCTCCGGGCAAAAGCGGAGGAGGCGGGGGGGCAGAGGACCAGGAGGAGGGGGGGGGGAGGAGGAGGGAGGATCGAGAACGAGGACGAGGTGGAGGAGGAGGCGGAGGAGGGTCAGGAGAATCGAGGACGAGGAAGATATGCATCGATGGGTGGAGGAGACGGAGGAAGATCAGGCTGATATTCGAGGAACACGAGGAGAAGGAATAGACAACGGAGCTGGGAGAAGGTGGAGGGGGAGGAGGAGAATCGATGAGGAGGCCTTCTCAGCCTTTACAAGGGCCATGTGACGGCGGTAGCTGTCGACGAAGCGTCGACGGGCCGCGCGGCAGTGGGCCCTAGGGATCATGCTGCCGTCGCTCACCATATTGGACAGGATAAGGGGCTTGGGCACGTCCTCGTGGAGTAGGAGGAGGAGGAAACGGAGGAGGAGGAGGAGGGGGAGGAGGAGGACGAGGAGGAGGAGATGAAAAACAACGGTCGTTGAGGAGCATGAAGAGGAGGAGGGATGATTGCGCGGTCCTGAAGGATTGCCAGCCCGAGCCCCGAGAATGAGAAGCTGACCACGGCGCCGAACTCCGTGAGCTCCCCAAACAGCTCGTCGATGGAAGATGCCACAACACACCACTTCTCAGGGGCCGGGTCGTGTATCCCACCGCGCTGCACCACCAGGTCAGGTGGCATGTGAATATCCCAGTCCGAGGTCTTCAAGCGCAGCGACGCTGATGGGTTCCCCCTCGTAAGTTTCTTCGTCATTTTCATCGGCATCGGGGCCAGGGCGGCCCGAGTCTCGGCCTCGGGCTCGTCCTCCTCGCCGTCGTAGCTGTCCGTGCACGCCTGAATCAGACTCGGCAGCCCCGCCCCCATCACGAACTCGAGGGGCGCTCCACACGAAGAACATCGGCGGCGGGCTCTAATCGGCTCCGCACACCTCTAGCTCGCCGTCCAGGGGGCGTCCAATTGTCGAAGCGGGGCGCCGCCAGCCCGAACGATCGAACGGCACCGCGCTGCGCATCCCCATCGGGTGGAAGAGGAACGGGTACACGTCTCCGTCGGGAGTCGCGGTTCGCACTGGCTGCCACTGCTGTCACATTCTTGACCATGATGAGCTCGTACTCGTCGGCGCCGCAAGGAACTTCCATGAGGCGCATCTGAAGTGTCCCGTCGCGCGCCCACCACACCACACCCATCTGGCCCGGCTGCAGCGGCATGGCGGATTTGGTAGCAGAGCCTCGCACTCAGGACGCCGATGAAGAAACTGAAGACACGGAGGAGGCCGAGTTGAAGCCTCAGACTGTCGAACAGCTTGGCGGCCAACGCGCACGCGGAAACCTGGGAGGCGAGGTCCACGGCCACCTGCGAGCAGAGCATCCACGCAGCGCCCTGCAGCGCCGCGGAGCTAAGCCTTGGGCGATCGCACTGGCAAACGACAAGAACGGCCGCCAATTGTTGACTTTCGCCCGAGGCCAGAGCCGAACGGCCACGGACACAGAGCTGAAAATTAAAAAAACGAGAATCCCCCCCTAAGGCTCCTTAGGGGGGGGGTCCAGAATGCAATGTTCTGGCCCCTCGGCGGCCACGACAATGGAGTTGAGGACGGGACACAGCGGAATCATCAGCAATCACCACCAGTCACCATCAACAACACCATCATCACCACCAACACCACCATCATCAACCTCGTCATGTTCTTCATCCTCGTCATGTTCTTCATCCACCTCGTCCGCGACACTGCCCCTCTTCCTCTTCGTCCTCATCCTCCTTCTCATAATTCCCTCCTCCCCATCATCAGACTCATACTCTTCTACAGCACCGACACAGAACGAAAGAGCATGCCTCATGCTCTGGCTCTCCCATGCCTTGGGTCACGAGGTGTCACGCATCACGGCTCCCTGTCAGTCGCCACCCGAAGTGCTGGGCTGGCGCGGTGGCAGGACTGTCCGCAGGCAGCTGGCTGGTTTGGAAACACAAACAGTATCCAGCGCGATTTGTGTCAAGTCGCCAGGAGCAGGATCAATCAATACCGAATCGAACACTTGGATCGAAACGAAATGTGAGCCGAATCGAGACGCATCGGCATGGAGTCTCAATCGAATCGGATCGGCCACACAAAAGTGCACCACGACTCCGTGCAGGCATCGGGCCCCACCAAATCGTCGGAACATCGGCATCGAATCGGATCGGGCCGGCCAAAGACGAAGGGGCTTTTCTGGCCACAGCGAGCATCGGCCACGATTGAATTCCCCGACCTAGCTCTGAGGAGCAGCCCGGATACCAGAGCCCCTCCTGAGCCCGTGGCCCGTACTTCAGCGTCTCGGTTGTGCCGCCGTCGAATCGAAGCGGATCGAAGTGGACCCTGACAGAGGCCTGGAGGCCTGGGAGCAACGGCGGCCGTGCCGAGCACGGCGGCGGGACCTCACGGCGAGCCGAGCCGCCGGATGCCGCTGGGCCGGCCGCCTTCATCCCGGAGACGGGGCAGCGCTGGACGTCGAAGAACTCGTCGAGGAGCGGAGGGTGAGACGCCGCCACCCCGGCGATTACCTGGAGGAAGAAGGCGCGCCACTGATACGAACTTTCGGAAGACCGCGCGGAGCTCCAGCGCGGTACGGTGCGCACTTGTTGCTCGGCTCTGGGGGCCGAAAACATATGCACCGTACCATTCCTGGGTCGAGGATCGACGACGCATCGAGAGGCGCCAGCGCAGTACACACGTTGTCCGCGCAACGGCGCTGGGCCTCCTGGGCGGCGCGTCCAGCCCCGATCCGAGAAACCCACGCGGGCCATCGACAGTTTTTGTTGATGCGGCTTTTCTTTTTCAGTCACCGCCAGAGCGTCGTACTCGTTGAAACCCTTGACGTATCTCCAGATGGCATCCTGTTGCAGGGTATGGAGAGGAGGGCGACGGCAAGGAGGATGAGCAGAAGGGGGCAATGAGAGCAAGACAGGAAGGAGGGGAGCGGGAGGGCAACGGGCAACGTAGGCGACCCCGCCTGGGCAAACTGGACAACCTAACAAACCCTGCCCGGTAACCTAACCAACAACTGGACAACCAACAAAAAACAACACCCGACCAACATGCCAATCCACACGCGGAGCGAGTCAAATGTTCCTGCCCTCCGGAGACTACCACGTAAGTAGGGAGACGAGCTGCCTTGTGTTGCGGTCTAGTGGGCGGTTCTCGAAAGGTCACTAAAAAGAGTGCTTACTAGCGTGGACCTTTGCAGGCCGCGTATCTTTGACCGCCCACCAACCCAACCGACCGACCAATCGACCGACAGAGTGGCCAGCCAGCTTAATCGAGTCACCAACCAACCTATCGGCTGAGCAGCCAAACAGTGGCCCGACCAATCAGCCAACCAACAAACCAGCCGTGCCTCCCATAGACCCTTCGAGCCCCACTGGACAAAATGGGGCCAGGATGCACCCGCAAACATCCGCCGAGCCTGCCGGCGCGCGTGCGAAAGGCTTTTCCGTTGTGGCCCACCATCCTGCCCGACCGGCGGCCTCCCGGAGGACTCCCAGAGCTCCCAGGCGCGCCCCAGGATGGTTCCCGGGAGGGCACGGACGCTACGCAGAGATTCCCACACGACTGCCCCAGGACGGCGGCATGTCCTTCAACAATTGGCGCGTGCGTGCCTAGGCTCATGCTAAGCAACAGTGCAAGACGTGCGTGTCTGTTGTAGGTGTATTGTGTGCTGTATGTTGTGAATGGCTTATGTGTGTTAGGTGTGTCGTGTGTTCGCTGTGGTGTGTGCGTGTATGTGTGTTATGTTTGCTGTGTTAGTTGCTTGTTGTGTGGGTGTTGCGTGTTGTGTGTACGATGTGTGTGTGTGTGTGATGTGTGCGTTGTGTGTTGTGTGTTGTGTGTTCTGCGTGTTGTGTGTGTTCTGGGTGTGGTAGACGTGTGTATGTGTGTGTTGGTTGTGTGGTCTGCGTTATGTGCTATACGTGCTGTGTGTTGTGTAAAGTCTTCACGCTTCGCGTATCCCCACCAGCCCATTCAGAGAACCTGACCCTGAGAGCTGAAGGGAAAAGGAACGAAGAGACACATCGAGTGAAACAAAACGAGCAACCAGGGTGAACAGAGATATCTCTAGGGCTCTTTTGAAGGGCTTTGGAGTTCTCTTGGAGCTCTTTTGGGGGGGCTCGGGGCGCTCTTGGGGCCCTCTTGGGTCCCTCTTGCAGCTTTCTTCGGGCTCTCTTGGGGGCCTCTTGGGAGCCCTGGAGGGCCTGTTGGGGCTGTCGTGGAGGGTCGGTGATAAGAGGGGCGTACTAGCGTTTAGTCCCCCCTTTCTGCGCCATCAACATGACATCTTGGGACGCTCTTGGCCCCCTCTTGGGGCGCTCTTGGGCTGTATTGGGGCCGTCTTGGGGGCATCGTGGGCCCCTCTTGGAGCTCTCTTAGGCCATGTTGGGGCCACCTTGACGCCTCAACAACTGATTCGAAGCGAACATGCGACAAAGCAACAATCAGTGTTTGTCCTATATAATGTCGAAGGATGTTGGCTTCTCGGGGATGTCCTGAGGGGTCTTTGAGGGCACCTGGAACCGTCTTGTGGCCGTCTTGCGGCGTCTTGGAGGCATGGTGGAGGTCATCTTGAGCGATCGTGCGCTATCTGTAGCCCTCTCGGAGGCCATCTTCGAGCATCGGATGTCCTCGTGGAGCCATCTTGAGCGAGAACAGGGTCCTCCGAGGACTCGCGGCCCCCCCCCCCAAACCCTGGGAGGGGAGGGGGAGGGTACCCCTCCCGGAAGGAATGGGGGGGTTGGGAAGAAAAAAGGTCTCGTCAGACCACCTACGCCCAGAGGGCTGGTGGGACTGAATGTGATATTTGTAAGTGTGATCTCTGTGTGCTGTGTCCATGTTGTGTTGTGTGTGATGTGTGTTGTGTGTTATGTGGGTTGTGTGTATGGTGTGTGTGTGTGTTGTGTTGTATGGGTTGTGTTCGGTAGGTTGTGCGTGTCGTGTGTGTGTGTGTGTGCGAGCTCTGTGTGTGATATACAAGGGGGCTCGATGTTGCGAGGAGGCCACATGCAAAACTTCTTTTCTCCTAGAGTCGTGCGCGCAATCGTTGAATACCGTTGTGTGTTTACAAAGTGTGCGCTATACACTTTGGAAAGGACTGTGCTTTTGGACTGTGACGTTGCGATCTGCGCGAGGGGTGCACCTATTGTTCAAATGTTTGAGGAGCTACCTCGCGAAACGGTCAGGAACGAGAAGCACGGCTTCGAACAATCGCGTCTGAGCTCTGCTCCCTCGGAGAGATGCGAGTATTAGAGATGCGTGTGTATACATACACACAGAACGGCACACATTACACCATACAAAAAAACAAATCAATGACTGGGTCTTTACATTTATATACGCGTGTGTGTGCTATGCGCACATGTGTGTATACACATATAAAAATACACATATACACTCCGTATCCACCCCTCGCCCTCGCTATGGCATGTACATATGTCTGTGTGTATGCATGTATGTGTGTACGTGTATGTCTGTTTGTATGTATGTATGTGTGCATGTATATTTGTATGTGTGTGTGGCGAACACTGACATCGAAAACAAAAACAACCTGGGAACCCAACCGCCCACCGAGACCGATCCGCAACCCAAAAACGGGAACCCAAAACCCGAACTCGGAACCCTTCGGCCCACCGAGACCAAACCGGAACCCGGAAACGGGAACCCGGAACCTAGAATCCGGCAACCTGGCCGCCTACCGAAATCGGCGGCGAACTTCCCCCAACTCTTTCAGTATCCGCCAGGACTCCTGTAGTGCAAGCGCTGATTGGGGAATCTATGTGTGTATATACATGCAAATCTATGTATGTTTATAATTGCACAAGTATATACAACTGCAACCATCTGTGTGTATATATATGTGTGTGTATCGGTATATCTGTGCCAAACCGTATACGGTGTGCAGTCTCACTAGGGCCATCTGTGTGGTGCAATCTACGTGGTGTACTGTACAATGCGCAACACCAGATCTGGAATTGCTCTTGCGCGTTATATGTGTTGCGAGCTACGTGCTGCAATTGATGTGGTGCACAACATATGTGGTGCAATCGAATTGATGCGTCCTATAGAAATGGATGGCGCAATCTATGTGGTACAATCCGCGTGGTGCAATATACACGGTACAGTCGACGTGGTGGAATCGATGTGGTGATCTACGTTATGCAAAATATGTTACGCCTGAACTGTGGAACGATTCTCAACTGATGCGTGCAAGTGGCTACCCTGCACCGCACTTGACCACCTCCACTGCTCGCGCAATCATTCCACCCACCCACCCGCAACTTGGTTTGCAAAACCCATGCGATGGCGATTGCGATGAAGGCTGGGCGCTGGCTGGTAATTGTCTGTGGCCGCGTCAACCCAAAGAGGCGCGCGCAGCGGTCAGCTAGTTTGGAACGATCGACGCGAACGCGGTGGCGCTGACTGCTGGGCACATCCCAGCGGGCACTTCAGAGCGAGTCGGCGACTTGGGCGGGCGCGGTATCATGGCAACGTCGACAATTGTAGACGCGATGATTATAGTAGCGATGTCGGTGGCGATGTCGACAACGACGACGGCGCGGCCAGCGCGGGCGCTGGTGCTGATCACGCCGACGACGATGACGGTATCCTCGCGTCGATGATGAAGGTTTTGGGAAGAGTTCGACACGCGCGCGCGCGGCCGACGCGCGAGAGGCCCGCAAGACATAATTTGTTGCGGAACGTGCCCCCCCCGCCCCCCGCGAGCTCGCAAGGGCGTGCGAATGAGGTCGGCATGCGGTGCCAGTTCGACAGAAATCCATTAAAATGTTGGGAGAAACGATGGTATTGTAAAGAATCCGCAAGAGCGCGTGCGCACGCTTTCTTGAAAACTGATGTTGTGAAACATAAGTGTTGCAGAGATGTTGGCATGCGCGCGCGACGATGCGCGCGCGCACTTCGTCCCATTTTGCTCAGCGCGCGCGAAACCTGTTTCGTAGCATGTTCTGAGCAGGTTGAACAACCGATGGGGGTCTCAACAATTCGCAAGAACCGGCGCGCGCAACGATCTTTTTGGGGGGAGATCCGAATGGCGAAACCATTGTTTTTTCCAAACCCTCCTATGGTTGGGTACTCGTTTTGAATAGAGCAGTGTGGTCGCCCCGTCCTCCTACTCCTCCCCCCTCCTCCCCTCCTCCTCTCCTGTTTCCTGTGTTCCCCTCTCCTCTTCTCTCGTGCCGTCGGGCTGCGATCTGCGCAACTGTCGCCACTTTCGTGGGCTCCTGGGAGGCCCAGCGGAGGTGCTTCCCACGCGGATCACCTCGGGACCTCGCGGTGCCCTCGGGGCAGCGATCTGCGCAACTGTCGCCACTTTCATGTGCTCCTGGGAGGCCCAGCGGAGGTACGTCCCACGCGGATCACCTCGGGACCTCGCGGTGCCCTGGGGGCTGCGATCTGCGCAACTGTCGCCACTTTCGTGGGCTCCTGGGAGGCCCAGCAAAGGTACGTCCCACGCGGAACACCTCGGGACCTCGCCGCCCCCTGGGGGGCTTGCGATCTGCACAACAGTCGCCACTTTCGTGGGCTCCTGGGAGGCCCAGCGGAGGTACGGCCCACGCGGAGCACCTCGGGACCTCGCCGCCCCCTGGGGGGCTTGCGATCTGCGCAACTGTCGCCACTTTCGTGGGCTCCTGGGAGGCCCAGCGGAGGCACGTCCCACGCGGATCACCTCGGGACCTCGCGGTGCCCTGGAGGCTGCGATCCGCGCAACTGTCGCCACTTTCGTGGGCCCCTGGGAGGCCCAGCGGAGGTACGTCCCACGCGGAGCAACTCGGGACCTCGCGGTGACCTGGGGGGCTTGCGATCTGCGCAACTGTCGCCACTTTCGTGG